TTTTTATGTTTAGATACTGTATAAATAATAACTATATAGTTATATAAAAATAGTTTTCCTCAAAGCTTCTATTAGGCTGCTATGACACGCTGCAGCAACTGGTAAGCAAAAACAAAGTAATTCTTTGCTGGGTGCCTGGTCGCACAGAAATCAATGGTAGTCTCACTACCATGACAGTCAGAATCTGCCATTCAAATTTGTGGACCAGAGCCATATAGTGGATTGAGTTGGTCTACAGTTAGGTCTCTGACTGATAAATGGTTTTCAGCCGAGAGAAGTCAGCAGTCATGGTAATGTATCCTTCTTTAGCAGAACTGAATTGAGGTTGCTGGTGGGATATTTAATGGGTCACCATGGACTGCGTTATCATCTTAACAAAATGGATTTGTCCGAAGAGATTGAATGACGATTCTGCCTAGAAGCAGACGAGACTTCCAGTCAGAATCTATGTGACTGCTCAGCCTTGATCTGGGTCAGGAGGAGGTCACTGGGTCGAAAACTACTCTTCCCTTTTAACATTAGGAGGTTGTCAACGGCCGACATTCTGGCTTTCATTCGGAAGGCGGAATGTCTTCTGTTCGGTTCGGGTTTGTTGCAGCACAAAGAATTAACCATGGTCGAAGTGTTAAGCTCCTTTGGGAGCTGGTACCCTGTTTATTCCAATACTATACTATATAAAATCGTCGTTCAATTTTATGCTTTGGTTAGTATCTGACATTTATATATGTGAATATATGTGAATTATATTGTATCATTTACCACGTTACAAACGACTTGACAAAGTTAATAAAATATTTTTTTACAATGATATGTGGGATGTAAAAAATAGTTTCTTCAAGTCAAATGTAAATTTTTGAATAAAAAAATTACTGAGGCGTTGATTTGCTGAAAGTTCACATTTCGCAAGTCTTTAATAAACTATTTATGTATATATCGTAATATTTGGAATTGGAAGGAAAGTGTCTATTACCAGTTGTTCAAGCGTAGTGCAACAGTAAATTTCAACCTCTACTACTCACAATTCGTTCGTAAGGATGAGACAATTTTGCTATAAATTAACATTAACATTTATAAGAGTAACCCACTCTTGAGGTTAAACAATTGATTGAGCACAAAAATTTTACGCATAGGTTTTAGCATCTCCTTTATGTATATATATATATATGTGCACATATTAATTAAATATGTTTTTTAAAGATTGTTTCAATTTTGTTGAGTGGTTTTTTGAAAAAAAGTTATTATTTGGACCGATTGTTTATGAATATCTACTGTACATCGTTTATTCACAAGGAAAAAATTCTGTTGAAATGCAATCACATAACTTGCCAATAAAAAGAACCTGAACTTCATTTATTAATATAATTTAGTTAGATGTTAGGAATTTTCTCGTCATAAAGTGGGCTGCCTTCCTTGATTATATTTCCGGATTACCAAGATATGCTGTTTAAAACAAATGGTGTTGTTCAACATAAGCGGTGAACTCGTCAGCGATATTTGAACGAAAGCATTGAAGAAAAATAATATTTAAAGGTTAAACGCTTAAACTGTGGTCTCAGATTGCAGTTCCATATGCTCATTTTTTTAAATTCATTTTAAATGTTATATTTGTATTTTAGTTTTTAAGATTCAATTAAAAATGTAAAATCCAAACTACCCAAAGTCTTCAGAAAATCAATTTATTATGGGACTTACAGAACTTCTTAGTTTGCTCTTTCATACCATACATCGCATTGAACTGACTTATATATTATCTTTATGAACGTTTTCAATTTTATATGAAAAATCATTTGCTAATTAGAAAATATGTTTGACACCAAAATAAATTAATCACGAAAGTGTCCTTAGCGACGTACACTTTGAACTCGTGAATGTTCTTGATATTTTTTGATACTTTTGTAGGTGGTTGAATAACATTGAAGACAAAAGGGAACTCAGTTTATAAGTCGTCTGGAAATTTAATCAAACTTGCACGAGTTTCGACAAGGCATAAACTTTATGCAAACGTCAATTGTCAATTACATACTCGCGGATGAAGCATTTGGTGCTTAATGTACGAAAGCATAAAGGAACAAATATGGCAGCAGAATATGAATGAAAAAATGGCGGAAAAAATGGCGGAAAAATGGCGCCTATTTCCTATAGCATATCAAAATAATTTCTCACCTTCAGCGCTTGCAACGAAAACAGATCAAGTTAAGATTTATGCTTTTTATGTCAAAAATAAATGGATTTTACATGTTGCCACAAAATGCACAAAAAACACAAACAAAACATTAAAATGACATTTTATACTGAACTGACAGTCAAGCCACGTATGCAACATAAACCGAAGGTAGTCCAAAAAAAAATTAGAAAAAAAATAAGCAAAAAATTGTAAGTTGTATAAGAGCAAATACGGGATTGTGACTAAACCAAAATGAAAGCAACTTGGAACCCTTAAGGTTGAATATTCCATCCAAAAGAGCTTCGAAGAGAGCACCATGAAAGCCTTCTGATATGAGTTGGAATTCGACAAATTCGACATAAGGGCAGACAGCAGCGGCACACATAAGCACAAAATAAGCCGAACAAAAACAAAAAACCCAATAAAAGTAATTTAAAAAAGTACCTAAAAATTTACGAGGGTGTTACCAGGATATTAAAGTCATAAAAAAGAAATATTTTACAAATTTGACAAAAAATACGCTTACGAAAGGAATCAATATAAATGTTAAATAGCAAATCCGCTTGAGACAAAACATTGCTGTTATAATATATACTATATATAAACATATCGTACATACATGCGCTATAAGAGCAGCTTACACTTTTTACACTTTTTATACACAATGACGAATAAAATATCGCTACATCAGTGGCAAAGCAGCAGAGACAACAACAACATAAACTGCTAGAATAATTCGTCCTGATTTGTTTGATAAATCTGACACGTAAAGTCCTCACACTTGACGTAATAATGTTACCACGTGCTTGCCGCTACTTCGTTATCTAAACTTACAGATATTAGGAAACTTCTATCGCCTCTATCGCTTCTATCGCATAACTCCTCAATTTATAATTTTATTAACAAAATGTACATGTATATTCATACATATTATTATCATCTACATATCTGCATGTGTGATGTGTGTTTTATGCAAGATGGTGTGCGAGATATATCAATTAATAGAAATAATTTCTTATTAGACAACTGAGGCACGGATTTATATGCTCTAAACTGTGTTAGGATGTGTTAATTTCAGTTAGAACTTCGATATACGATATACGATATCGATATAAGATTATACTTTTAGTGGATAGTCAAGAAAGTAAGTGGGAAATTCGTATATTATGTATATATATATAACGAAAATTCAATATAACTTAAGCAACATATATTTAATATATTCTCTTAATACAAGAATAGATTTCATTCCAATCGATTTATGAACTACAACTGTGTGATTTGGTTTTAAGTACAACACAATTAAGATTTAAGTATATTGGTTGTGGTGTACTCTTCTTCCCCACCCTTCTATTTATTTAACTTAATCTGTAACACGATAAGCCTAGGACTGGTGTACTTACTTTCAAAATTTTATGAATGTATAGTCCTCTCCTACGGTAAATATATTTTTTTAATTACCAAAGAATTTTTAGTATCAGAAAACTTTCTCATCTCGTCTCTTATTTATAGTCGTAAAACTAGATTATTTTTGTAAGATTTATTTTTGGAATATCCGTTAAGCTCGACATGTACATAGGAAGTGTTTAATTGTTTATTCTTCATCTTCCTCAACCATACAGCTTCTTTATTCAGATTAAAAGGGATATACATTTTTTATACCACCCATCAGGAATTTCTTTCGTCATAAATTGTAGTTTGGTTATGCATATTTTGCAGTTCATAAAATAATATTGGGAGTGGTAATACAACATTAAAGTGTCAACTGGACCCTTATTAATTCAAAATCTCAGATTGATCTAATAGTTTCACATAATGTAAATTTTGAAACAACTATTGAAACAACAAAATCATCGATTAAGACATATGTTTGATAACGAGAAGGCTTTTTTAGTAACGTTCAAGATGATAAAATTACAAATACCTCCAGCTCAAAAAGTACCCGGATTTTGTAAATAAAGCACACAAATTTAAATTTTATTCCAAATTTATTTTATCTTCTTCAAAATATGCTCCTTCTGAAGCGATACACATATGCCAACGCTTAACCCAATCTTCCGTACACTTTTCGTAGGCCCGTGAAGGTATGGCTTTTAGTTCCTTCAGCGAATTCTCTTTTACCGATTCAATCGACTCAAAACTCCTACCACGGAGGGGAAATTTGAGTTTCGGGAACAGGAAAAAGTCGCACGGTGCCAGATCTGGCGAATATGGTGCCTGAGCGATGAAAGTGGTGCCGTGTTTGGTCAAAAAATCGCGTACAACAAGAATTT